CGTTCTTAGGGACCTGGGAGCGTGACCACAGAGCCCAACGGACAACTGCTTGGGACCGGTCATGCACTGCCTTTTTATGAGAAGTTTTTAAAGTATTCACTCCGTTCTTGTTTAAAAGGCTTTACAGTCGGAGACTGAAATCCGTGAGGTAGGGTGAGGTGTGACATTTTTAGGGTCGACCTTTTCTAACCCTTCCTTCCTTCTGAGAAGGCAGCATCGCTGTGGATGCTGGTTGTCCGAGGGAAATACCTTACTGCTGCATAACTCTCTGCAGTCAGACGTCCAACTTGCCTCTCAAACCTTGAGTTGCTGCTTTTAGTCTCATCATTCCGCAATCAACCCGCCTGTCATAGTAGGACATTCAGGAACATATGTTCCAGCCAATATAGCTCGGTTCGGTCATCACGATAGGCAAGCCCGATCGCCACGACAAGGTAGCAGCTATAGTCTGGAAACATACTAGATTTCTATTCGAAAAAGTAGCAGATTATTCGCTGTCTTCTCCTGGTCTTCAATACAGTTTGATCATTCTATTCATTCGGATACGACACTGTTAGGTCATAAATTCTGAGCGACACTTCATTTCATAATATACTCTGAAACTACATTGTGCGTAGTATACACTGTAACAGGATAAAACAACCGTTCAGTGCTTCCAAGATTTTAATGGCGGTCTAACGTTGATCAGTCCATCAGTTTAGATAAAAATCAACAATCGCTACAATCTTCATACTGTGTTAGGCACCACACTATCTACTATCAGATATCCGAACCGATGCTGGTTGTCCAAGGGAAACAGCTTATTGCCTTCACACCACTCTGCAGTCAGTAATAACACTTCAGACCTTAAGTCGTTGCTTTCAATCTTAACGTTCTCCAATCGACCTGCTTAGCATGGTAGAACCTACAGGAACATATATATTTCAACCAATGTAGCTCACTCAGTTGAGTCATCACGATAGGCAAACCAGACCACCACATCAAGGTACCAGCTACATTTGGACATTTAAAAATCAATTCATTGAATAAATGACTCAACATAACTTTTTTTTTTAAAATATTACATCAAGTCACTACTACTCATTATTGATTCAATAGTAGTAATATATATAAATATTCAATCTCAAAAAAACCCAGATAACTTACAATCATTGTACGTCTAGCTTCTTCAACATTTCTAATTATAGTTGCGTATACGGATAAAGCATTTTTAATGATAATATCATCATCGGTTTCAGACACTTCTAAATAACAATAATAATGAAAAAAAAAAACACCACATTGAAATTTGTAGTTAGTTAGTTAGTTAGTTAATTATTTATAGAATTAGAAAAAATACCATTTTCTGTTTGTGTTATACAAACTGTTTGATGTGCAGCATATTCAGAAAAATCACGCAATGATGCAGCATAATCGATCAGCGCTTCGTTTAATGCTGAAACAAAGAAAAAAGAAAAACAAATATAAAATGATGATAAGAATAATTAGGAAAAAAAACACGCACACATAAAATTAAAACGTGAATAAATAAATGACCGGTGGAGTTCAACCGCTTTCGGGTGAAAGCAGTAACTACCAAAGACAATGGATGAGGTTGTGCAAGACCATGGATTGACTACAAGTTAGACATTACCATACCAGTAGATACCGGTTCTATGTTCCATAGGTTAGGCGCTCATCCGTAAGACAGAAGGTCCTGGGTCCGAGTCCTGCTGTGGTGCCAGCTACTTATAAGTAGTAAATGACGCGGGTGTAAACGTAATGTCTGGCAGCAGAACATGGGGGAAGATCAAGAAAGGTAGAGTGGGAACACAATTGAATTTGTATGAAACGCATGAACAGTTAACTTCCAGACAATGGATTGATGATTGATTGAAGATTTGCAAATGAACGATTTACGATATGGTTTTCCTATTTTACTGAGTAACTCTGTAATTTTCGTTAAATACAATTCGGTTGCCCCACTTGTGTTCTCGTTCACTACACTGTGAGTGGCAGAAAACGTAGATGAGCACTGCTAATGAGTCGTACACAAAGACGAAACTGACATTGTCCAGTGTTTCCAGGTTTCTAATGGAGGTTTAACAATGATTCATTCATGGTTTTAATGGTTCATTTATGTTTTAAAATAAATCGTTGTTGACGAACCTATTATTCATCATCATGTCGCACTTAGTGCTATGCTACGATCAAGACTGGGAATAGTTTACGTACCTTCTACAGATGCTCTCATACGACACGACAAAGGTAGGGGAGACTTACTCATTGTCTTTATGAGAATGGGATGTCGATTATGAAATTAAAAAGATAAAAGGGTAATATCCGATGAGAACTAAGCAAACTAGATTGGTGGATACACAGCATCCATGTTAGGGAGTTGAAAAACCTCTCATTTGAAACCGGTGGTCCACATGGACTCCAGGATCTTGACGAAACGAATCGACTGTAAACCTATTATTGTTTGACACCGGTTACCTTAATTAACCAAATCGCCTAATTTTGCTCCATTGCCATGTCAGTTAAGTCAAAAGTTTGCGGAATAGCCTTCTACGATAATCATGTGGTTCACTTTGGATACACAGATAGTATGCCAGCCTACACGCGAAAAATCGTTGATTTATATGGCGTATAAAAATTTACACATCCCTTTGTACACATTTAAAATCATCAGTCAATCATTGTCAGACCACCATTAGAAACCTGGATGCACTGGATGGCTGTTTCGTCCTGGCACGGGACTCATCAGCAGTGCGCATCCACGACTCCTGCACCGTGCATGATTCGAACCCAGGACCTTTGGCAATGTAGGCAAACGCTCAAAACATCGGACCACTGGGCCGGCATCCAACGGTGTTAATGTCTAACTCTGATTGATCTAGGGATTTTGCGCGACCTCACCCATTTGTCTTTGGCAGTTACTGCCTACATCTGACAGGGTTGAACTCCATTGGTCACGTTTTCTCATTACTAGAACTCCGAGAATTTCCTCACGAAGCTAGTCACTACTAGTGAGCATTGTTACGACATTTTCGGGCACAGTTTTGGAGGTTTGAGTTTTTACACACTTGAAATCATCAATCAATCATTGTTAGACTATCCCTTTGTATCAAAAATTATGCGTTTAAATAAAAATATCTAATATATATTGGTGATTATTATACGACTGATTTTGTGAGCCAATATGAAACAAGATCAAGTGAAAAGGGGTTTGTAATCATTATCCAATGTGACAGTTTTTTTTATCTAGTACCTCATATATTTAACAGAAGCATATTTCACTTGACTTTTAACAAATACAAACAATACTTCCAATAGATAATAAAGATTGAATACTTAGTAGCCTGTAAATATCTTCCTTCACATTCAAAAGCAATGCATCACAGCCGTAGAGTGGGAGAGAGTGAACTGTAGCATAGTATAATTAACTCCTTACTTAGTAACTCCGACTATAGACCCTTCGCGGCTGCTGCCGGTTCCAAGCAAGGATAAAAGAGTAAGGTTGGGATTAGGGTTGGCGACCCCATCCTGCAAAAAACTAACTCACTGAAAAACCCTAACACTCTGCTCTGGGAGTTAGAAAGTCTAGAAGAGTTATAAAGTCTCATAGTGAAAGCCGAGTTCCTTCGGAAGTCATGAGGCTGACGCTCCTTCTGACAACAAGAATACTTAGATAGTGTTGGTAGCCAAGAAGTAACATCCGCCCTCATACTCATAAAAGCACACGAGACCAAATTGGTCCCAATCAAATCATTTCTACACCCATATCCTTACTTAGTGTAAAGACAATCGGTCAACGATGCCGCAAAAGCTAACCGGTCAGTCAGTCAGTCAATTACAACGTAGAACTTCGTACGTAAGTACATCAGCATCTACCAACATGACTCAGTCCACTTGTCCGTGACTTCATGGACTTCTGCCATGTTTTGGTTTGGCCGCCCCTAGCTTTCTCCAAACCTAGTCCTAAACCACAAAGCATAGCTCGTCGAGGCAGTCGGTATTTGACCATACGTAACACATGTCCCAACCACCTCAATTGATGAATTTTCACTACTTCATCAATTGATCTGTCATCCTTACCTAGTACACGCTTCCTAATGGCAGCATTGCTTACTCGGGTGTCCCACGATATACGAGCAATGCTTCTAAGACATCTGTGATCGAATACTACGGTCAGGCAAAAGCTAACCAACTTTCTATGGAATCCATTTTTTCTGGATTTCATTATCATCCATGAACAACAACAGTAAGATTTGAATTAATAACCGAAAAGGTGTAAACAATTAAGAATTTATAAATCAATAAATATTTTTATTGTAACAAGGCAAGTTTTGCAACTTGTTATCGCTAGTCTCTGATTTTCATCAAATCTGAAATGTTTATGTTCTGTTGAACAAACTCAAAAAATATTTCAGAATATTAAAGATTCCCATTGTGAAAATTAGAACAACACATATAAGCGAACAATAGTATTGTTTTCTATTAGATCCTCATCAGGCTTTACTCTAATATACATGAATAGTTATATGAAAATGTTAACCCCGCTGCTTGCCAATAGACACTCACTTTTGTAGTTTTACACCTATCCGCTACAAAATAAATTTGCTTAGATGTCTCACTAGCAGAGAAAATATGATATGTTCAGTGGATACTTTAAGTCAGGAGCTGCAATTTATCAACAGCTCACTGACCGAGATCGGCTACCTCAGCGCATTCATAAGGAAGTATATTGTTGATGTAAAAAAGAAGTCAGTAACTTCGACCGTCCGAAAGAAGCCATTATTTATTAAATTACAATTCAACAGAGATATGGCCTGCGATACTCTGCAGGACAGATTATTGAGAGCAATTAATAGAACATTCAATGCAGCCAAACTTGCGTTGACCTTCTCAAGTAGACCAGCGATGTCTACCCAAACGAAGGATAAGTTACTTGAGTTGGCCTCTTCTATGTGCACTTACAAATTCAGCTGCTCCTATGGAGATAGCTATATCGGGCGTACTACCAGGTAACTTAACCAACAAATGAGTGAACATTTCCCAGCATGGTTTACGAAGAGTCAGTCAAAAACAACACGCAGTTCTATCTTAGCACACCTGGAAGATAGTGGTCACATTGTAGATAGGTCTAGATCTTTTCGGGTGATCTATCGTATACCTCCTCCAACGGAGTTCGATCCCGTCTCCTACACTTAAAGCAGAAGTCATAGGAATTCGTACATTCAACCCCAATTTATGTGTTCAGAAGAAATTCGTGACACACCTATCTCTTCCGCGGCCCGGATATGACGTAACTAACGATTGACATTATAAATTTTTTATTTTATTTTTATTTTTACACATTTGCTTATTACGTAATAGTTTTGATGTTTTTTAATGATTATCTGAAGTCTATTCATCCACCTTTAACCTACTATTGAAAAAACTTTAGTTATCATATTTTATAATTTCCTTACTACTATAAGTACAGCTCTGTCTTCCTACTATCCACTTGTGCTTTTGCCTATTAATGTGTAGTGACGTCATCTTTTTCATTTCATTGTAATTAGGACTCATAAATTGCCTTGTTTGGTTTAACATTTTCATGTAAATATTCATGTACACTGAAGAGTAAAGCCTGATGACGATCTAATCAAAAACAACCATATAGTTCGCTTATATCTGTGTTGTTCAAAAAAATATTGTTATCATTTAATTTCAAAATAACGATACTACTACCATTTTGACCTGAATCTAAATGAACATTTACAAAATGAAAAACTATTTCCAAATATAAGTGCACTTTTTTGATTGAAATTATGAATGAATTGCCATTGAAAACCTAGAATTACTAAATGTTCGTTTTGTTCTCAGTTAGTGAAATGCAACGTAGAACTTCGCATGTAAGTACATCAGTTCATGTTGCCATACCACATCAGCACAGAGATGTAATTGTCGATTCAAATCCAAAAGTAGAAGAGGTAGTAAAAGTATTAGAAGAAATCGGAGAGGTTAGGATTAGAACATATTATTCAAGAAGTATGATTCAGTGAGAAAAGTTTAGAAAGTCAAAACTAGAGGTGTTGAAGAATCCAGAAGATTAGGATTTGAGAGAGCTCAACGAATGGATGCACTTGCGCCATTGCAAACGATTTTGAGCCATGTCATTCAAGGTCTCTAACCATTGATGACTTTCGTCTCGCGGACCCCAACCAGGTAGTCTACATCTACCGACATGACTCAGTTCACTTGTCAGTGACTTCATGTATTTGTGCCATGTTTTGGTCTCGCCGCCCCTAGCTTTCTTCCATCCTACTCCTACACTACAAATCAAAGCTCGTCGAGGCAATTGGTGGTTAGGCATACGCAACACATCTTTCAACCACCTCAACTGATGAAGTTTCATTACTTCATCTTTTGATCAGCCATTCTTACCTAACACCCGTTTCCTAATAACAT